TTTCAGTGAATGCCAGAGGGGGAAAAAGGAGAGTTCTGGCATACCACAGTAGAAATGCTAGAGTAGGAAAATCCCCATTTTACAACTTTCATAGTAAAGACTAAGCAAGAATGATTAAAGGATGCTAAATTCTGGCATAAGCGTGGACTTAAAAAGTCTCCACAGAGTGTGTATGGGATGCACGGTAAAATATAGTTAACTATACATTGGAGAAAGTGAACATCTTGACCAGCTAATCAAAGGTAACATAACCAAAAAGGAGATGGCCTTGGTATGCCTCTAGATGGGATACCATGATCACACAGAATTGCCAATACAGAAGTCTGACCAAGAATCCATAACCTGATTTTAATCATGAGGAAATCCAAAATGATAAACATACTATCTAAAAGGGAATGAGTCAGAGACTATATTCTTCAAAAACATGTTATGTTAAAACTGTAAGTGGCCACGGAAATGAGAAAGAAGTAAATGAACAAGCAAATGATAAAACAGTGAAAAATCTTAATCTGGATAGAAGATATTGAAATGTTCTTTGTACTATCCTTATTCTTGCCAATTTTCTAAAATAGTTCAAATGATTTGCATATAAAAAGCTGAAAAAATAAGGAAATAACAAATAACATAACCATTAAATATTGGATTGTCAACTTAATGTATTGCCCAATAAAGGTTATTTAAAGGAAATCATTAAAAAAATGGTACATAGGATGGATCAAAATGGTGAGAGGAGGTTCCTTGTTTCAGTCCCAAAAGGATTTATCTAATAGCTAATTAGAGGTACACTACACCCAGAGTCCCACTGCTTGGATGGGGGTGGGGAGCTGGGTCATCCCTTAAACATCAAAGTTTAACACAGACTGCAACAGAAAATATGTAACATCACAGTGCTAATCATCCAGGGGGTCCAGGGAAGAGCAAAAATAGTGTAAAGGAACATACTCTTGAGTGGAGAGAAATATGCATTGGGGAGAGGTGTACTCCCCACAGGACAAATCACCAGTAGAAAGGACAAAGACATTGCACTGGACTCTACCCCACTTCCACTAACCATACAGGTGACTTTGTAATAGCACACAGGATACAGATTCAGGTCTGGAACCCAATAGTGCCACAAGCACAAGCCAAATCTCCCACTACCCCCAACACATCTGCACTAAAGATGGACCCTTTAATGTCCTTCCATCCCACCTGACTCAGCAATTGCAACATTGATTCTCAGGACCTACAGTCCTCAGAACCTACAGCAAAGAACAAATAGCTAAAATCAAAGAAATCCAGTGTCATTAGCTGTAACAGTAAACAAGTTCAACTCTTCTAAGTTTGTTGTAATTAAAAAAAGGAAACCTAAAGCAGCAAAATGAGCAGACAAAAAACAAACAGCAAAAACAAGGTATCTTAGCATTCTAGAACCTAACCACAGACACCGACAATTTTATCTTCCTTTCAGATATTTCAAAATTGTTACAAAAAAAAAATTGAAGAATTGTGAAGAAAACAAAAGGTAGTCAATGTGATACAAGATAACTTAGAAAATCTAATCTGAGTGATTAAAAAAAAAGTCAGGAAAACAATTGGATGACCTGAGAAATAAAATCAATGAACAGAAAACAGAAATTGTAGTAAAAACTGTAAGACACTGTTAAAAGAAACAGAAGACACAAAGAAATGGAAAGATATTCCCTACTCAAGGATTAGAAGAGCTAGCATTATTAAAATGGCCATCTTACCTCCACCCAACATACATTCAACGTAATCCTTATATAAGTTCCAACATTTCTTCAGAGAAAATGAAACATTACTGAAATCCCCATGGACCCATTTAAAAAAAAAACAGTCAAAGCAATTCTGATACCAAAGTTTGGAGTTACACACTCCCACACTTTATAAACGATACATAAAGCAACAGTAACCAAAAACTGTATGGCATTAATATAAATAAAACAGAAGCCAATGGGTAGAACTGAAATGCCACCAACAAACCCACACTTAAAATCTACCACAGGGCCCTCCCTGGTGGCGCAGCAGGTTAAAGCACAGCACAAAGAAGCTTAAGCCACTTCCACATGAGTTAGATCCCCGCCTGCCCCGAGGAGATCCACATGGTGAGGCAGACCTCTCCTGACCCACCCGCTGTTCCCCTCAGCAGTGTACTTTGTCGATCTGCCTGTTCTGTACCACACTCTGTCCCTGGTGAATCCTCTCCCCTCCGCATCTCTGACCTGTACCCCAGTTCTGTACGAATAAATAAATAAATTAAAAAAAAAATCTACCACAAAGGAGCCCAGACTATAATAGATTCTCTTCAACAAACAGTGTTGGGAAAACTGGACAACCATACATAAACCAAAGGAACTACACAACTAGTTTATACCACATCTAAAAATTAATTCAAAATAGGTTGAAAACTAGGATGTAAGATCTGAAACCACAAAACACACTGAATAGGCCAAACAACCCGTCTCATTGGCTTCATGGATGCGCTTGGGGACTTGACGCCAAGGACAAGAGAAAACAAAGGAAAAATATCCAAATGGGACTAGTTCTCCCCATTAAATACTAAACCGATTCTGTACAGCAAACGAACCTTGTTAACAATGAAAAGAACCTAGGAATGGGAAAAAATATCTGCACAACCTATACCTGACAAGGGGTTAATGTCTAAAATCTACAGGGAACTCTTACAACTTAACAAAATAAAGTGGGCAGAACAAGTACACATCTTTCCAAAGATGGCACAGATGCTACAGACACACAATAGCATGCTCGTTATCAGGGAAATGCAAATCAAACTTCAATGAGAAACCATCTCACATCAATAAAAATAGCCCCTTATCAGAAACACCATAAACAAGAATGGGGAATCTTTGTCCACTGTTGGTGGAGATGTAGACTGGTCTAGCACCTTTAGAAAACAGTAGAGCAGTTTCTGAAAAGAATAGCTTGACAGAAAAGTCATGACATATTTTTGCATAGGAAAAAGTACATCCTGGGGGCCCTCCCTGGTGGTGCAACAGGTTAAAACACAGCACTATAAAGCTATCTGCTGCTGCTGCAGCATTAGTTTGATCCCCAGCCAGGTGGCTGACAGGCACGGCACAGTAGTTCTCTCCTGTCTTGCTGGCTACTCCCCTCAGCAGTATATTTCAGATCTGCCTGTTCCGCTCCCCACTCTGTCTCTGGTGAATCCTCTCACCCCCTGCGCTTCTGGCCTGTGCCCCATATCCTATATGCATAAATAGATAAGTCTTTAAAAAAAAAATCATGATTTTTCTGACATCCCAGTATTAAAATAGATCTACCATGTGATCTAGAAATTCCAGTCCAAAAGTGTCTACCTGAATAAAGCAAAAATACCACTTGGAAAGAATACAGATATAGAAAACAATCTAAGTGCCCAAAGACAAATGGATTAAAATGTGCTACACATACAAAAGGATACTATTCATTTGCCATCTATAAGGACGTGGATATAACTGGAGAGGATTAAGCTAAATGAGAACTATTGGGAGAAAGACAAATACCAGATGATCTCACTCATGAGTGCATTAGTAAATAAAAAAGGGACTAACCTGAAAAAAATCCAAAAAATGTGACCCTGCAATTGAGGCTACCAGTGGGGGTGAGGGAGTGGTGAAAGCAAAGGGAGAAATGAGGCCAACTGACTATGGTGGAAGATTTTTGGTGTTTGGGTAGTGGGTGTGGTATGGAATATACATTCAAAGAGGTGTGGACCTAAATCATACACAGTATTAAGCCAATGTCACCTCAACAAAAAATAATACAAAAATCAAAACTTCCTTTCTACAATTATATCATTTTGTTTAAATAAACTTTAAGATGGGACTATTTAAACACCTAAAAGTAACAATGATCTCCAACTGAAAGAATGGGCTTTTAAAATAAATAGATTCATGAAAAAAAAAATATTGCCCTAATTTTTCTCACTTTCCAGGGAGAACTTCTTTAGCTTGGTGTCAGGTAATTAACATTCCAAACAAGAGGTGTTCACAGCAATGTTAAGTACAGTGCAGTAGAAATAAATGAAAGGAGTCAGGCAGAAAATGAATTAAAATCCTGACTCTAGACATTACCACCTCTGTAACCTAAACTTTCAGCTAGTTTTCTGAATCACAAGGCAGATAACTAAATCATAGAACTGTTACAAGAATCATATTAAAAGATCTAGATACTATTGCTTGACAGAGAAGGCACTCAAGTCTCTTTTGTTCCCAAAGCCTGTCATCTTTCTATTTATAGAAACCTACTGACTGGGGAACATAGTGATCCTTTGCTCAATGACCCAAACTGAGATCTACTAAGAAAATGTATGAAATTCAATTATCCTGAGAATAAAACTCTTTTCTGAAGATAGTTCATGAAAAGAGAAGTCAGACATATTGAAAAGCAGAATGAAAAAACACGGCTAATAAAAATAGATGAGCTGGGGAATGGATGGTATGAGTTCTGTTAGGGAGTTAAATAGGAGGGAAGACAGTACTGGCTTATGTTAGAAAGTCTGCTGCTCAAAAAAGATAGAACAAGTTTATTTCTCTTCATATATTCACAAGTCTATTTTGCAAAGGACCATCCATCTCCTTACAAGAGTAAATAACAATTTATGTCAAAAATAAATAGTATTAAGAGCAGCGATTCTTTTTTTACTCATCATGTAATTTTGAAGAGGAAAGAAATCAAGTCAGTAAAATATTTATCAATTATGAGGTTTCACCCAATTATTTTTTGATTTCTAACTTTTTTCCACATTTCCTGCTTACATCTAACAGAATAATTTCCTTGTATGTTGTCAATGACAGTAACTGCTTAAAAATCTGCTTTGAAAAAGAGAAAGACATTTAAAAATAATTAAATCACATTATAGCAAAAAAATTATACTGCCAACAAAATTTAACACTTAAAAGTTTTATAAAAGATAGAAATTGATTCTCCCCTTTATTGTATTATACCTGAAAAATGAAATCACTTAATATGAACTGATACATAATGTCCTTGTAATGTTATGGTGGGAAAAAAAAAACGAAAACTACCTTTTTAAAGAATTCATATATTATTAATACTCATGGCAATTTCAAATCCAGTAGATAGCATCAAATTACTATTATTTGGGACTACTTTTGGAAATACACGTTACAAAGCTTTTAGAGCCCAGCATACCAGAAAAATTTAAATTTACATTGTCTGAGAGCTAAGTACTCTCCATGGCATTATGGTGTAAAAACCTATATTAACTGCCATGTCTTCCTCATGAATCTCTTAGCACAGGCTACAAATATAGAAAAATATTCAGTACCTCATGTACTTGTGTATATATATGTATGCATGTATGTATGTGTGTGTGTATATGTATATGTGTGTATGTGCGTGTGTGTGCATAAACTACTTCCATTGACTACTTTTTACCCAGAGTGATTAAGGACAATAAAATAGGAGTTCTTGTTGCTTTATTATCTGAACTGCTAATAAGCTCCCAGTAGAAGTCCCCTTAGACAATACACCAAGTCTTCTTGGTCTTCTGATCATATATATATCTTATATATATGTATGTATTCATATATATATATGCATTTTTCAAGTAAAGAAATGTTTAACAGATGTAAACTATTTATTGAATATTTGCCACCAAATATTGTTAAATACATTATCTTGCAGCATATCGCTTTCAAGTTAAAATGTCAGAAACAAACACCAATATTTACAATTCTTTTAAGGAATGTTATATAATGACACATTAAGGCGTAAATTCTTTTGGCTTATAATTCTTAAAAGAATGATAATAGCAAAAGTGATGCAAAAATCTTCAGTGTGATATTATGATTAAGCTACATTTTACAAAAATATGGTGTAAGATGGCAATAATCCCATTCAACATCCTGGATTAAATCCCTTCAGGAGGGACCGATAATTTATACAGTCAAACTTTAAAATTTACAGATAAAGGCAGATTAACACTGCCACTGAGAAGTATGTATCTCTTAACATATACAACTTTCAGGCCACAGTTTTGAAGGTCTGAAGTATCAAATTGGTTTGATGAATTAGTCGGTTGGCACTTATGAACACATTTATTGCCCTGTTTAAAAAAAAAAAAACAGTATTAATTTTACTCCAAAACTCATCCTTAAATATGCTCATACTTTTTTTTTCCTTCTTACAATGTTGGCTTTCCTTCCTCAGGTATAGTCCCTATCTCTACCAATTCATTCGTGCACCATCACCATAGTCCCTTGTGCTCTCCCTGCTGTCATTCTGACCCCTTTCCTTCCTACTCCCCTGCAGAAAGTCTCTGATTTATAGTTGTTTATTTTTGTTTTTTCCTTGATCCCTCATATTCCTCCTGTAAGTGTAACCACCTGGTATTTTTCTAAGTATACTCATTCTTAAAATCATCCATTAGCAGCAGCAATGACAATTTAGGAAAAAAAAAAAGACAAGTTTGTAATAATTTTTATTTGTTTGGAACTGAAAGGTCCTGCATCATTTGACACTATCTAGGAATTACTGCCCCCTAGTGGTTCTAGCTGGCAATAAGGTGTTGAAGGGTTGATAATAATAGGTGGCTTCTACAACTAGTTTATTTGTAGGACAGTAATGTCCAAAGAGGATTGATTCAGTTGTGCTCTCAAGTGATAGTTTCACAGAAGTTACCAAAGTAAAATTTGCTAAAGTATTATACTCAGTCTCAAAATCTATATATAATGGGCATAATAAAAACTTCAGAAAAATTTTTTTTTATCACAATCTACACTATTTTTAGAACTTACTTTTAAAGCAAAAATAATCCTGTGGTTTCAATATTTGGGAGCTGACAATATATAATGCTCTTAAAAATTATTTTGAGCTGTACTACATTCTCCTATCTGCCCATTTTTCTGGGACAGGAGCACAAGGTTGATGCCTTAGTTTTATTATGTGGCCTCATCAACTTCAGAGTATTACAGCTAAAGTTTATCTTCATCCCAAGACATTTCTCAAAAAAGAACCAGAAAAAATTAACTGAATGCAAATGCATTCTCATATTTTGAGGTGTTTGTTCCAGGGATGCCCTTAACTTAATTAGAATAAAAAATAGTGACCCCATTATGTAGATTATTATTTAACGTGTTTTTGGTTATTTGGGTTTCACACAGGACACCGAGGAAAAGATATATTTATTTTCAGAAGACACCTGTTACTATTAAACTAAGTCATCAAGGATAACATCCTCTAGATGAACAATAATGTTATGAACACCACCACCAAAGTACTAGGAGATTTCAGTGCAGGATCTTTAATTTACAATATAAATATGTCAACATGTTGGAATTGCTAGTAACAGCTTTGAAAATTAATAACTATCATAATGTATTCTTTTACAATATTATGACAATGTTGCATTGATTTGACAGGGAATAGGGGCCTTAAAATTTTAATGGTAGAATACGATAGGTTCCTGCCAATTATATCAGAAAATCATTATTTTATTTACTTTAACACTTATTAAATGCTATACCCACAAAATTGCAGGCATTCTATTGAGGTACAATGAACTCCCTATATGATATGATGCTGCAATAGATATGATCTCAGCAAGTATGTGTATACATAAACATTGCAAGTATGTGTGTGTATACATAAAAACAAATTTTCTTAGTTTTCTAAATGTTATACAATCAACTATATGTAAGTTTTAATGCTTGATTCACTTTTTTAGTATAATCCCTGCTTCAAAGAGTTATACTGTGAAAGCCCAACCCCCACCACCTTCCTGAACAAAGGAACAACACCTTTACACACTTTAAAAACAACTGCAATACTTTTACAAAGCACCTACACCCTGGCCCCACACCATATTCATTAAATGAGAATCTCTGAAGATGGGGCCAATGCACTGGGAATTATTTTGAACTGACCCCAAATGGTTGGTTCTAACAAGCAAACAGGACTAAGAATCACTACTGTAACTTTTTAATAGCAACCATCAACACATCTGCAACAACATTATTACCTTGGGAACTTTACAGAAATATACATTCTTGGGTCTACACTTGGCTTAAAGAATCAGACTCAGGGATGGCGGCCCAAAAGTAATTTACAGTTAAACAAGCCCTGCAAGTGATTCTACTACGGAAGCTTGAAAACTACTTCAGGGAATTGGTGCAGTATACCAGTAACATGATCTCATTCAGCAAGTTTATGTATAGTCTGTAAGCCAAGAATACTTTTATATTTTCAAGTGGTGAAAATACCTAAATAAATAATAATACAAAAAGTATGGTATGTGACAGGCAAAAATTATATAAAATAAAATTTAAGTGTCTAGAAATAAAATTTTATTAGAACACGTCATACCCATTTGTTTCCCACCCTGGTCTCTGGCTGTTTTTAAAGTTTAACAGTAGAGGTGGGGTAGCAGTGACAAGTCCACCAACCTTAAAACACCTGCCAACAGATTCTTTTCAGAGAAGTTAGCTGACTTCTGCTCTCAAGTAGTGGTAAAACTGGATTCTCAGCCACTCATGTTTTTAATGATCTATGTTACAACTAGCTTGAGTACTGACAGGAAAATGTAGGTAATAAGAAACAATCGACATGGCTATGCTATCATATAAAAACCACAGATGAGAAACAATACTTACTTGCCATCTTTGAAATAGGTTTTCAGAGTATCACTGAAACTTTTGGAGTATTTTACAAATTCTTTCTTTTGGTGTTCCAATGCCTACAAGATAAAAGAAATAAGAAAAGAGAAATAACACAAAAGGTATGGTGAAGAAAGACATTATAAAAAATAGGGAATAAAAGACAAGCATTTTTAAGAGTATTTAAACAATGTATTTAAATTCAAGGAAACCCCACAGATTAATGATTCAAAAACAGTTTCAATAATCAAACCTTAATACTGTATCAAACAACTAGATGTAAATCAACATTGAGGATGGCAGATAAGTAAGGCTTCTACTAAACTTACCCTGCGGTTCTGGTATTGGTATTTCTTGAAGACATTATTCACTGTATCAAGAAGTTCTTTTATTGCACTAGCTATATCCCTGTTAAGGAAGGGAAAAAGAATCTTCTTAAAAAGTTCCACCTGCAAAACCTTTTTATCTATATATAAATATTTATACATTTAAGAATTACTGATGATACTGTTAAACAACACATGAACACTGTGTCAAAGGTAAATATCTGACCAGTTGGTCAAATAGATATTTTAGTCTGCACCCCTCTGTGATCTTGACTTCTGCATTGCTGACCAAGACTTCCACAATTAACATTGACTTTCCTGAATCATTAACATTTTATTATTAATCAAATTTCTACAAATATACCTGACTCTCAAAATTTCCAGTTACGATTTGTTATCGTTAAACTAATGTAGCTAAATTCTTCACTTTTGTTATGATTATACCAAATTTTTCTATTTTATGTAACTCATTTTTTTGTATCAACACTTCAAGTTACATACCTAATAGTTCTGATGTTTAGAATATCTCTTCCTGAGGACTCCCTGGTGGCATAGGGGTTAAAGTTTCAGCACTATCACCAGCCACTGCAACGTGACTTCAGTCCCCAGCTAGGGAGTTTACCTACTGTAGTAGCAGACCTCTCCTGTCTCACCTGCTGCTCCCTTCAGCAGTGTATTTCAGTTCATCAACCACTCTGTCTCTGGTGAATCCTCTCACCCCTACACCCCTCAGCCTATACTCCAGTTCTTGTATGTATAATTTACTAAATCGTAAAAAAAAAAACTCTTCCTTATATGCAGTTCCCCACCCCCCTCTTAAAGACAAGCTTATGCTTTACCAAACTTTTACTGTTATTATTTCCTTTGGAAACTGTATTTAAGTTAGTAGAAGACATAGTATTAAAATATTCTACCAAAGGAATCTTTCCAGCAATCCTTTGGAAAATGTATTTAAACTAGTGGAAGACATAGTATTAAAATATTCTACCAACGTAATCTTTCCAGCAATCATTAATACCTTCCTCCTCTTCCTAGAAACAAAAGGATCAGATTTCCTCATTTGAGTTGACTAATCTTACAATTCTTTTCTTCTAAACTCCTTGTTTCTTCTACCTATGCCCTTTTCAACATCTATTTCTAGAGCATTTTTATTTTGTCAAACATCGTAAATGTGGTTCTGCATTCTCAAACAGCTGCACATTCTCTAATGCCAAGTTTCTTTTTCACATTCATTCGCTTAATGATAAATTGTTAGAAAAACTTTTGCCATACAAATACAATGCAAATAAAGATATCAATTAATAACACCTATAAATCCAGACCATCAAGCATTTTCTCTAACTTTTTAGTGAGAAACAGGTTTCAGTTACTTCATATCTAAGATGTTCAAACTTTGTTATTCAAGGAAAAAATCTAAAAGTAGAGTGCCCATTTTTCTGTGTACAGGTAGTATACTTTGTAACATATTTCTATTAACTTAGCATGAGGAAATTCTAAAAATTACAAGTATATAGAATATTACAAGTATACAGAATAAAGAAGTATCTTGGCCTACTCTGTAGTAGTGATGATGTTCTAATAACCACTCCGCAGATATTTATTACTTCCTATATGTAAAACACTGGTATCAGGCTGAAACATGAAAACATTAGATATGTAAATAGACAATGAATTTTATATAGAAATGAAATCTATCTCATCATTTTATGTCCCTAACAAGAGCAGTTTTAAGGTTATATGACTGTTTCTCTCATTGATCATTTCAAGCAGATTTAATCCTTCTGTATTGCTATGATGAGCATGATGTACTACACTTAATGATCATCTAAGGGTAATCTATTTTGTGAGAAAAATTTCAAATTCAACAACTAAATAATGTCAAGTTTCTGAATACAAATGGTTTTCAAAGCCATAAAAAGAATACAATGGAACAAATTACAGAGATCAGGCAGATGTTTATATACAACCATAGATTGTGGCCTCCTTTAATATTCTGCTAAAAAGGGATTATAAATGTATGTATAGGATAATCAACAAAACAAACAAATGCTGTCCCAAATATTATGATATGACTGGGTTCTCTAGGTCCAAGTATCTAAAACTGGACACAAAACAAACTAAACAAATAGGAGCAGAAGAGAAAAGGTAAAGTTCTGAGTGGGACTCCATGTCAACTAATGATTACTGGGGGTTTGTCTGTACTTTAAAAGAAAGCTTAACAAAACCAACACTCTCCAAGTGATTCTGCTTTTGAGCCACTGTTTTGGGAACCTAAAGCCTTGAGGTAAAGTTTGACCCAGCATTGACAACAGATCTTAGAATTCTATCTACCAATCTGTTTATCGCCAGGCTTTGTTTTTCTAAAACCAATGTGCAGCATTTGTGTCAAATATCATGTCATCAGTTTGTCCAAAGAACTACATTTTGTTTATAGCACCACAATTTGCTACCAGGGAACAATATTGGGGCAGCAATTACCTGAGGGTTTGTGAGGGTTTGTTTCCTACTAGAGAAAATACGAGCACAAAAAAAATTCTTCAGACAGTTAAACGTGTAAGAGTATGAGGAAGCTTGAAGGCAAAATAACTAAAGTGTAATTAATTACGTACTGGAGTTATGGATACTGTGATAAAACATATAGTATGGGCATAGTCTGAGAAAGGAATTCTGCAATCTACAATTACTCAGTGGGAGAACTTGGAAAATATAAACACTGAGAGGATAACAGGTATCAAATGAAGTGTAAATATACATTCTATCAAAAAATTGCATGAAATAGTTTCTAATTATGTTTCATATAAATTGTACAGCATGTTTATGCAAACTATTTAAAGGAACGCAGTTTCTATTATTATAGGTTTAATTTGGTCTAAAAGCAAACACTGGTGAATTTTTACCTACAAATATGCAAATGAAGATTATAAAGAATAAAAAGATAAATGCACAACTCTCTGTTGTAAAAAACCAGGTCACAAGTGTCTACTCATCATCCACTAACTGGAACGTATCAGGCTTAAAACAATGAAGTAATAATATTTGCATAAGCACAAATGTAATCAATCAAAATATTCAAAAATTAAAATATCTTTAAAATATTTGTTTGCTACATCATTTTCTTTCATAGAGGAGAAAAAACCTTATTTCATAATGTGCTAGCATGTATTGAGAGTATGCTAGGTTCAGTGCTAAGCATTTTATGCATATTTTTTTCAATTCTTGTGGCTATCCTCATTTTCACAGATAGAAACCAGTCACTGAAACTAAGCAAATTCTACAAGGTCATAAAAGTTCAATGTTGGAATGGAGACTCAACCTAAGTCTGCTAATCTACATAAACTACCTGAATATTTAACTGATCGGTAATCATTTTCTACTTTAGCAGAACCTGTAACATGTACAGATACTTGATATAGTAAATATATTTCATAAATGCTTATTGGAAAACACTGCTAAAAATAAATAAAGATAACAAATGCTAGAAAGTAAAATATTTCAAGAAAAAGAATAACTGTTCAATATGCCAAAAGGATAAGCAAGTTTTTTTTTTTGGTGCAATTTTATCCATTAACTTGTCAAACAATAAACAGAAGTATAGCAAAATGAATATGGATATATTATACCTATCAGTTATAACAAATAATTATATCAGTCATCTGTACTAATTCATATATAGTTGAATTTTAGGTTCAGAAATAATATGTATCATCAACTTCTCATGAAAATCAATTTTAATTATCATTAATTTTAACTGAGTTGTGCTGAATACAGTCCAGGACTCTGCAATGAAATATTAGTATTTCTCTATAAGTGAGAGATAAGATGCTAATTTAAGCTTTGTCAGTTGTAATGGACAATATTCTTAGGCTTTTTGACCACAATTTCCTTATGATTAAACTGTGGTCGTTAATAAAGTGGTTCTCAAACTGTATCTCTTTAGAGCCACACTGGGTTTAGCAGAGATACTTCAGGAACTCCCTAGGAAAGTAAAATAGTGTCAAGGCATCAAGATAAAGGTTTGGGGCCTACCACTTCTACTGAGGCTTCCACAACACTGTTCACAAATTCCATTCCATATGTTGGCATTCTCTATAAGGTATCTTTTACCAAATAATAAAAATCATTTTTCCTCAAATATCAGAATCAACATTGTGAATCCATAATTGGGAAGCAGCAGAGAAAACACCTGAGTCAAGACACTTGGATTCAAAGCCAGCTCCATCAACTTACAAGGTCTGTGGTCTTGAGAAAGTTACTTTCTTGTGCTTCAACTTTCTCATCTGTTATTGGGAGTATTGTAATAAGTAAATACATGTAAAGTGCTCTAGACCTTAGAAATAAAGTGTTTAAGTAACTGTGTTTGAGATTCTTTTATGTCCAACACATTAAAAAAAAAAACCACAAAAAACAACAACTCAGGAACAGTTGACTCTTCTTTCTGCACATGCTAAAAATAATTAAGGGAAGTTGAGTTTTCCTATAAAGTATTATAAAATATTTACCGTAAGGTTTATTTCCATGAAATGGATTTTGGCTAAACAATTGAAAAGACTTTATTTTTGTATTTTCTGGTCCTCAATGGTCCTCAATTATTGTCAAAGAGGAGGCGGGTCATCTTGATAGCTGGTTTCCATACTCATGAGTCATTACTGTCTAAAATGTGACATACTCTTCCCTCTACACCACTCAGAGGTACCAAAATGAGTTAAAACAACGTATTACAATGGTAATATTAATATTTCAAGAGTGCTTTCTTAGCTTCTTTAAAGATACAATGTATGATGTAGACTGTCCCAGAACAAGAACTGAATAAATCTTTACTTTCTAGCATTTTCTCGTAAGGGTTACATTAAAAAGGTTGTAATGATGATGCCATTATAACTATTCCCAGCTTTCTTTTGTTTTTTTTTCTAACTGAGGCTGATGAAAATTAGCACTCTTTATAAAACTAGAAATTATGCTGATGTTCTTCCCTCTTTCTCCCGTCCACTTGCCCCTGATTTATAACTACTGATGTAGCTAGGATGGCCCCACTTGCTATAGCTCACCAGTGAGCTTTCCAGTCCCATTCCTATTTTCAGTCTTCCTTAATCTGCATTCCAAAGGTAGTGACTTGGTAGCTCACAATGAGTCCAAACTAGAAAATGCTATTCACACAGAAAACTGTATTACAATCCTGAAGACTTGGTTATTTTTGGAATAAAAATACCGGTTTCCCAACATTCTAATTTGTACAAATTCTCTCTTTAATATGTCACTGACATGTTTCCATTATTTATATGGTTCAAATTATATTCCAGTTTATGTACAATTCATTCACTGTTGCAAAATATTACAAAAAAAATATTACCACTCTGAAACTAAATTCCACAGTTTAGAAGTTAGTAATAAAAATGTAGCATTTAAAAACTTCAATTTATTATTTTCATTTAGTATTAGTATCATATCAAAATAGAAATTTAGAATAAGTGAGTCCTTAAAAGTTTTTTTTAACAAAAGGAGATGCAAAAAGAAAAAAAAAATGCTTACTTGATTGTCTGCAGAAACCTCACTCTGTCATTGATTTCATCTGGGATCTTACTGAGAATTTGTTTAAGTGCTCGTGCCTTTTCATTTAGGTCCTGGAACTCTGGCTCTGGTCGTTCAATCATATACTCTGATAGGGGGAAAAAAAACAAAAACATAATAAAAAGCTACTCAATTTCCCCCCCCCAAATTCAAATCCAAGACTTCCCAATGATGGTCAAAGGGATGAGGGTATGAAGGTATGAAGAGAAAAAGGTCATATAATCAGAAATGATCATATGCAAAGCAGAATTCATTAGATTTCAGTTTAGTTCAGTAATAACATTATACTTATATCTAAGTAAAATATATGAAAATTAAAGACAATATGGGATATATAGAAATCCCCATGCAATCTTAAAATAAATAAACTAAAAATTGGAAAGGAGGCCTAAGCAGTATGTCACAAGGAAACCTTAAAATAAGCAGTAATATTCATCACAAATACAAAGGCAATATACATCTGCCAGCAGGGAAGAGGATTTTAATAAACTCTTGAATATATAATATCCCCAAACTCCCAACAAACCTACAAATATCTACAGCACATTTTTAAAATCTCTAACATAAACCCAACACAAGGGCTGAAATTACAGAACATCAACTTGGGAAATATTCAGTCCCACCAGAGGCAATATAAGTTTACCAAGAGATTCACTGTAAACTGGAACACATTACAACTCTACCAAAATATGAACCTGACTTAGCCTAACAAGGCAGCAAGTGCTCCAGTCTCAAAGAGGACTTTGCTATCAGTCATGAACTCAAAAACTTTTAGATGAAATCTTTTTCATTTTCACAACTGAGATGAGAATGGATCAGATTATGCTAAATGAAACAAGACAGAAGGAGAAAGACAAACAGCAGGCAATTTTATTCATATACAGAAAAGGAAGAAACAAGAAAACAAAAAGAAACCCTAGAAAACTGACTTCAGAATTGCGCCAGTAGATGGCGGACGGTAGATTATGGGGAGCCAATAAACTGTAGTGTAGGATTATTGGTGCTTCGGTGCTGGGGATGGTTTGGTGACACATATCTGAAGTGCTATGACCTGATACCCCTCAGTCATATAGTGCTGTAAACATGACCAATGTTACCTAAACAAAGAATACAATTAAAAATGAATATCCTGGGGACTCCCTGGTGGTGCTGCTCCCCTTAGCAATGTGTTTCAGTCACTCTGTCTCTAGTGAATCCTCTCACCACCCACTCCCTGCAGCCCAGCTCTATCTGCATAAATAAATAACTCTTTTAAAATAAATAAATATCCTTGTTCTTCCTTAATAAATGTGGGAAATTGTACCGTTTGTTCTAAATTTGTGGAAAATGACTATTTAATCTATTTCTAATTAAAAAAAAACAAAATAAGCAGAGAGAATGGTTATTGTATTCATCTCTTAAATCTGTGCTGGACAAAAAAAAATGCATTAAAGCAAAACACAAATCTAGTTTCTTGAACCTACTATCTGTATAGTTAATATAATATAACCATTCAACAATGACTTACCACTTTAGTGAAAATAAACGTCAAATATATTAATAGGGGAAAACAGCAAAGTATGTAGCACACTTTACTTCAAGTAATTTATATTAAATCTAACAAATATAAAACCTTAAGCAAAACCTACTTTTCTATTTAACACATACTTTTGTTATACTACCATCACAAAATCAATAACATGAACAGGAGAAGAGAAGGAAAACTCTTTTGTCAAATAATATTTAGAGAAAATGTTTTCAAACTGTAGGAAAACCAAAATAGTCTTTCTGATACCTTCTACATCATCAGCTGCCATTCGAAGAAGAGATTCTGTGAAATTAACTTCTACACATTTTTTCTCTAAAATTTTCATAATGATGTCTTGTGTGAGTCCTGGATTTTCTTTTTCAGCCTATCAGAAAGAGAAAGATAGGTTTGAATTACAGAAACAAAATAGCCTTTTGAAACCCAAACCTAATTGTTTGGAACCTGTTGGGAACTTCAGTTTACAAAGACAGAAATCCTTGTAAAACAGGTGTAATGAAGATATTCACTAACATTTTGTTAGAGTTCTTGAGCCAGTACCTTTTTATTATAGCTATAGCCACATGTCCCATTTGAACATTAAATATTTAGTATTTCTACTTCTTTATACTCACTTGCAGTCACACTAATAACAAAGATAGAAATAAAGATTATATATATTTGAATAACCCATCAATCACTTTTTCAGAGAAAATCATTTCAATAAATGATTAGTAACAAAGTGTGTCCTAGTGAATTCCAGTTTTTGATGCCCTGCTTTAACTTTACCTTCCATGAACAAGTTAAGGATAAAATCTATTTTAAAACCAAGAGGCACTTATAAAAGCTTTTACTTTTAAAATTTTCAAGAGATAGTTTAAGATGCTATTAAAATGTTATTAATTAGATTAAATGGCCCAAAATTACAAATACCACACTATTTAAGTAAAATAGTAACCATCATTATTTCCCCTCTCTAAGAATTACACTTATCAATATAATGCATTAGCTGGAGGGCAGGAGCATATACTCAATGTGCTTGAGAATGCCCATAGAAAAACATTTCTCTGATTAAATTATAATAAAGGTTAAATGCTGAAAGCCCAAGCATAAACTTTTTAAGAGCAAGGTGGTCTGGAGACCCAAACTGCCAAAGCTGGGGCATTACAGAGACTTAGAGGTTAATTTTTTCAGTTCACAATGTAGTTGGTGCCAAATACTTAACAGTGCTGTTTATTTAGATTGAAACCACTTAATGAGTACTTATATCCTGACATCTAGTATTTTAAAAAAAAATAATATAAAAGAAAAAGATCTTACTTCATTCTTAAATAATTATGGTTACTTATTGAGATCTGTGTACCTGCTGGACACTATACAATGTCTCAAATGCTCATATTATATTGGACCCTGCCACCCACACTTCCTGATTATTGTGTGGTACTTGCTTTTTATCACAGCAATGGCCAAAAGTCCAACCTCACAAAGATATGACATCACTGAAAGAAATGCAGCTCAGTGTGTTGAAACCGCAAACTATCTGAAGCTAGTTGTTCACTGTGTCAAAAAGATGGTAAGGTTCACCGTGTTCCTTCAAATTTTTTAAATAGCTCATCACACGGAATTTGCTGTGGGACACTAGGGTACCTCAACACATGGTTTGAGAACAGCAGCCTTAATATCTTCTGTACTGAGTATTTTCTGCTTGATATCCTGGTCCAGTTACTTACTTTTTATTTGAAAAGTCTTGAATTTTCCTAATGCCTGGCTGACAAATTATGAATATTAATCCTTAAATCAGAAACTAATTATACCTCCATATTTTCTCCCAGAATACAATTTTTAACTCTGTGAGTGTACAATTTTATGAGTGAGTCAAATTGTGAGAGAAACTACCTCAAGGGCAGTAACATGCACTCTTGTGGATCAGTGGTTCTCAACAGCCAATATAGCAGAACCATCTGGGGGAAAGGAATCAAGGAGAATAGACATCTTAAAAAGATACTACTGTTTTATCTTGGGAAAAATTATTTTTTTCTCCACACAAAAGTTGAGAATTAAAGCTTGATAAATGCTACTGTTCTTTGGACCTAGGACTAGAAATATGAAAACACGCACAGAAAGACATACGGTCATTAGAGTTTTGCTGAATCTTTTTCAGATTAGTTAAAAAAAACTTCAAAAAAAATCACTTTTCAATACACGTCTTCCTTTAATCTCATTTGAAATTGAACAAATTAAACATAATTAAGAATAAATCAGTGCAAAACAGACTGATATGTCGTCCTCCAAAATAATTTTCACTATACTTAGGAGTCAGTGCTTTAAATAAGAACATCCATGTCAAACCTTATCTATCATATCCACATACTGTAAGCTGCTGTTTATTTTTTATTGTATTTTAGTGTTAAAACATCAGCGCACATAAAGATATTACAATAAAAAGTTTCACTAAACTATATTTTATTTCTCATATGAATGTCATTGAGAATATCATCTACTTCAAATAGGGTGCTCTTTATGCGGTTCGCATAGGTAAACTCCTTTGTTCTTAGTATTAGGAAAGCTGAAAGACTGAGTTATGCCTTATCAATACTAGAGTACAATAATAAATCATTTTCTTTGGTCACAAAGGTGCTTATAGAATCTCCCCATCATGCCTCCCTAATGACTGAAAAGTGTCATTCCAAAATCACACTGATTACCAGAGAGAAGAAAAAACCTAATTGTTAATTCTCTTTATTCACCTAAAAAGCTGACAGAAGTATTTTAATAAGGCCAGAATGTATACAAGCACTACATTTGAGTATTATCACAGCAAAATCTGGGTATTATCACATCTGTTTTAACACTTTTATACTTGGAGCACAACCCAATTTGAACTAGCTAAAGTACTCAACAGCAACATGTGGCGAGTGATTACACACTGAACTGCTCACATCTCGAGACAATTAAAAACTTAATGCTGAGTGACTTGTAGACTTTCTCAGTATCCTTAAGTCCCATTAAGGGAATTTGAAAATATTGTTTATGTTCAGGAACATGAAGAGCATTGTGACTTATAATCTTAAAAAAGTTTTAATCAAGTCAAATGTTAGAAAAAGATTTCCAAAATATGCTATAAAGCTAAGGAGAACAAAGAAGTCAATTTCAAATGCACAAAATGACAAAATGATGAATGAGGAAAGAGCATCTGTTCAGTTCACTTTTTGTAAGTGTTTTAAAGTTTACAGAGTACATCAACACAGGCATAAGATGGATGAACAGTCACTAAAAGGAAATAAGTTGGCAATTATCACACACACGTGTATGTGCGTGTGTTTGTGTATGTATATATGTGTGTGTGTATATGGTTACTTTAATCATCACAATAAATTAACTTGTGCTTTACCTTAATAAAAGCTGCTCTCAGAGTCTGAGCTGCAGACAGATTTACTCGTTCTAGCTGAAACAAAATTTCAAATCCTTATTAGTATCAATTTTTCAAAATGCCCATTTCTAATATTCTACTTAGTAGTAATAGCATTGATAAATCTATCATTCAGTTAAAAAAGATACTTGCTAGTGATTATAAATTATCGTGATTCTTCAAATTGACATGCTAGCTAAAATTATCATTAGAAACCATAAAAAATCAAGATGTATAGTTCAGTTGCTGATATAGTCCCTTTTATAAGAAAATAAGATACATTGTACCTTAAGGGTAGATTTTTACAATAAGCAGAAAAGTATAATTGAAGTTCCTATAGAAAAAATAAACATACTTGAATTACTGAAAACGGAGCTCAGGATTAACTCTCAATGCTCTCTTGTAAATATGTACAAACTGTAAGTGTGTATGTATGTTTGCAATGACCAATACCAAGAAAACATTTATTAAGATTCTTTATATTTCTGACTGCCTTTTTAATTGCTTCTCAATCTGATGATTGGAATTAAACCAGGGATTAAGCTGAGATTAGTATTTTATTAGTCAGCAAACAGTGCTGTAGAAGTTTTGTAATTCAAACTGAAATCTGCATCATTAAGATTTCAGAAGTGGTTTTATGTGCCCTCTATTTTATAAGGATTAAAAAATGGTTACTTAAAATAATACTAAATTAGAAGTTTAATATAAGTTTTTAATTTTCATATCAAATATGTCTTACTTGCACTTTTATAATTCACTGTGCAGTAAATAAAAGGTTATAAACAATTTTATAAAAATAACTCCATTTGTTGATTAGTTAGCTTCTAGGTTCAAAATAAGTAGTAATAATTTAATTCAGATTTTTTTATTCCTTAAGGACTGGGCTCAATAAAACTCAACTTACCTATTTTATGTTACAACAATATCAAATGCACAAAACAATGAAATCCTTACAGATTTTTATGCAACCAGACTATTTCCATAAAAAACTTATGCCCATATAACATATTTTTTCTTTATAACATAGACATACACCCCTCTAGAGAATCTCCAAACCTTAATTTATTCTCTAATCAAGACAAAAATGCCAATAACCTTACGTCTCTAGCAGTATTCACCTTAATCATTAAGCAAAAGCAACAAAATCTGCCAAGACAATAACTTACCTCTAAAAGTAAACAATGAATCAATTTATTTAGTACATAACTTCTATAAAACTTGGCTTCTACATGTCTTGTAAAATTTAACATTGCCTTAGTAGGTAAAAGGAAAGCAACAGGTGTCCAGGTAGGTGATACAGCAAGGAAGTGAGTATATAAGAACTTTATAAAATTAACAAAGTCTTCAAAAATGAAAAAAAATTCTTCTTTCCCATACTTCACTTAATGATAGTGAATACTACTTAAGATTAAAAAAACAATAAACTATTCTAATCATGAGTTCTTGTGCAAGGAAGGGTAAGGCCAGACTTCATGAATGTTTCTTTTCTATACACTGACAGGAACCAACTTCTTTCCTGGGGGGTTTACACAGTATTCTGACACTTTTTAATAAAGTCAAAGCTTTGACTAAGATATGTGCCTTCAAATATCAGCAGTATTAACTCATTCTGTACTGTCCTGGCCAGAATGTGAAAGCTAAACTGTAAGAGGTCCAGAAGTCAGTGAAAAACTAATAAAATTGGCCATAAGAAGCATCACATCTCTATATATCTAGATTAAGTTTACATATATGTACCTTAGAAAATAAAGAGGTCATATGCCGAAGTAAGTAGAATCTGTGAACTATGAAGCACTTTACCAGAATTCTGTTAAATACCCATGTAACTTGTAATCAACTCAGTAAGTAGGCTTTATTTATTCATGACATCTGCAATGACCAGACAATACCTGGCATAAAGTAATTATTGACCTTAATCTCTCATCAATGAATTCACATGTATTGCTATTAAATATATCTATAAATTCAGCCAATACAGCAGGAAATTGTTTTCTTTCCAATTAAAAAAAAAAAAAGTATTTTAGGCATCTCATTTCTGGTGTGTGACTTGAATGAAACCACATTCATTTTACTAGCAGCTTTCATGACAGCATCAGGTTCTGGTAAGATCCTAACAACTGTTACTACTACTTATTAAGCACCCATTATGATCTTTATTATATAAGGTATTATTATAGTGTCTTATAATTAAACTCTAAATATCTCATTTTTACTTTACTGAGGAAGAAAGTGAGTTGGATATTTTTACCCAATGTTACTAGCTAGTAAGTAGAGACACAGTTCAATTCAGACCTGGAGGCCTCAAAAGTCTGTGCACAAGTCACTAGCATTCCCCGGTGTACCTGGAATTTCCATCAAGTATAAGAAATTTGGTGTGAGAGAAACAAAGAAACAAACTACAGTCCTAGGTGCACAGAAAATCAATTTTACTGGCCACATAGAAACTGATGGGATCAACTTCAGCTTCAATACAAAGTTCTTGTAATGATTTAAAATTTGTAGAGGTTCTTCTGGAAGAATATGGTTTCTTAAAATCATTTTGGCAGTTCTCCCAAATATGATTTCTTCAAGGTCAAAACATGGGGGCATGATTTGCTACAGAGTCCAGAACTTGTTAAAGCTGCTGGGTTTATAGTCTTTGGTCATGGAATCATAAAAGAACCAACACAATCATTTTCTTAGTATTAACTAACAGTATACACACTATACTTTGAGTCCTTTAATAAAGGAGGGAACATCTGGTCACACACTGTGTGTATGACTACTGGAGCAAGGAAAGGCGCTCCTTGGGTCTTAACATTACATAGAAGTCTTCCATGTCACTAGTAAAGAGTAAAGGAAAAGAGAAACAGGGTAAGGAAAAAAGGTTCAAAAACATCTCTCATCTCATCTTAAAGAGAAAGGAATAGGATGGGTGGGTCTATTATCAGATGTCAACCAAACTTCACTCCAGTCTACTCTCAATTCTGGAACTCCTCTTTCAATTTGTTTTTAATAGTATTAGATAGCACTATCAACTGCAAACATATCAAATTTAATTCTTTAGATCATGTAAAAAGCAAACATGGAATTTTTATTATATAAAGAACTCCTTTATTATTAACTATTCCTTCCAGAAGTATTTTTATTCTACATTTTATTTTTCATTATCAATTCAATTTCTTAAATCCACAATTTCAAAATATCCAATCCTCAGATGTTCACATTTTAAAGGATGTACTATATGTAAATCAAGGTTTTTTTGTTTTTGTTTTAGGTCAAATAGGTTCATTGACTCTAAATTGTATACATATCTTGCTTCATTAAAATCAGGCATAATGGCCCTCCCTGGTGATGCAATAGGTTGGAGCACAGGACTATGAAGTTATCTGCAGCCACTGGAGCTCAAGTTTGATTTCCCACATGTAGTGGCAAATCTCTCCTATCTTTCCTGTTGTTTCCCTCAGCCGTGCATTTCAATTAATCTGCCTGTTCTATTCCCTGCTCTGTCTCTGGTGAATCCTCTTATCCCTTGCACTTCTAGCCTGTACCCCAGAGTTCTTATATGCATAAATAAATAAAAATCTTAAAAAAAAAAATCAGGAAGGCATGATTGCCCTGCTGACATCAGTTTCTCCTCCCCTGATGCTGCCCCCTTACCCTACCCAAAAGATTATGAATCACTTTTTTTTAATTAAATAGAACTGAGCCAAACCACAATAAAAAGCAATTTACTTTTATGATTCAATAAGAACAGGGAGGCTAACTATTAAAAAAAAAAATGTCAAAAGAAGTAGACCACCAGTCAAGTAGCCATTAACTAAATTCTGAGCTACTATATTTTGTACATATTCAACAAATTTTTCCAAAAGAATCAGTTCCTGGGGTTGTACAGTTGTTTAGTAGAAAAGATAAACCACTAACAGAATGGTGAATTAGAAAAATATTCCATTAAAACATTGCCTACCAGTATGAAAAACTCGCAGGTATGATCAGAATTTTGTTAGAAAGATAAATAAAAGGCTCCTTAATAATAACAACTAACACTACCAGGGCCTCCCTGGTGGCACAAGGGGTTAAATAAAGCACAGCACTATGTAGCTTATAACCCAGTTCTTGACATGCATAAATAAATCTTAAAAAAAAAAGCAATTAACACCATGCTACCCCTCATATATTCCAAATAAATTATCTAGTGCATAGGGTGTTGGCAGAAATAGTTGTTTCTGATGCCTCTGAACAGAAAGATACTAAATACTTATTCAGAAGTACTTTTACTAATACAAATCCAATTTTATTGCAAAAATTTTAATTCTGTCCTGCACATACTTCTTCAGATATGATATTTCATTTCAAAGTAAGTCTTCCAAAAATTTAAAGGAAATGAAAATATACATGGAAAATACTTTTTTGGAATGAAGAGCTAAACCACATTATCTCTTCTTTTCCATATATAAGAAATCAGCAAGAAATAATACAGTACATGAGACCTGACCTAAGAGTTGGTTTTATGTTTCTATAAACTCATCATTCCATAATGCAACCAGGAGACCTATTTCACAGTACATTTACAACATGCAATATACTTGGACTCTGAACTCTACAGTTGATTAAACAAGAAGGCTACACCTTCTTGGCTATTTTGGTATAGCTTCATTTAGTCTAGCAAGCATCAAGTCTCAGAATGCCATAAGTAACTTTACATTGTGAGCTGGAGTAACAGTATTAAAGTTTCCTACATATAAGGATGTCCTACCACCTAAAATTCTGTTTTGAAAGATGACCTCCAGACTACATAATATGTATACATCTCATAGCACATTGTAAACAAAATTTAATGAGTCATTTAGCTTTAGAGTATAACACTTATGCGTCTTCTAGTGTTATTTTCTTTAAAATTAATTTGACTGGTTTTTTTTTTCAAATAAACATAATACAGAAAAACTAAGTTAAACCAAACTTTAATTTCTGCATTGGATTTATAGAAAACCCATGGTTGAACTATAGTTAATATTAATGTTTAACTGATTACGTTATTTAGAATGGTTCTTAACATACCAGAATGGTAACAGTGCTACTATATAAAAGAGTATAAACTCTTTTATCACCAAACATTTCATATTTGAAGGTACAATAATTACTTTCCTCCATTCCTAAATCACACCCTGGTTTTCTTCTATCAAAGAGTAAATCTCCTATCACTATTTGTAAAAGCCTTCTTCTGAATACTCTTAAAAAAAAAAAAAAGACTTATTTATATATGCATACAGAACTGGGGTGTACAGGCCAGAGGGCGGGAGCGGTGAGAGGCTTCACCGGACACAGAGTGGGGAGTAGAACAGGCAGATCAACGAAGTACAGTGCTGAGGGGAACAGTGCTGAGGGCAGCAGTGGGCAGATCAGGAGAGGTTACCTCCAGGGCTGGGGATCAAACTCATGCTGAAGTGGCTTTAGCTTCTTAGTGCTGTGCTTTAATCTGCTGCACCACCAGGGAGGGCCCTGAATACTCATATTAAAATGTCAGAAATATCTTTTAACACACACACACATGCATACATACAAATACATATATACACACATATCAATGAATTTAATTTGGGGCCTCTCAAGGGGCAGAAGGTGTTAAGTCTCAGCACTATGAAGCTAGCAGAAGCCACTGCACAAGAATTCAATCTCCTGGCCAGTCAGCTGACCCACATGGTGCAGCAGACATCTCCTGTCTCATCTGCTACTCCCCTTAGCAGTGTGTTTCAGTAGATCTGCCTGTTCTGCTCCCCACTATGTCTCTGGAGATATCTCTCACCCCCCTCCTCCATACCACTGGCCTATACCCCAGCTTTTGTATGCATAAATACAAAGAATAAGTCTTTAAAAAATAAAAAAAAGTAAATTCAACTTGATTCTGACAATTTGACACAGTATCTCAGTCTGCAATATCCCAGCTTCTTTTTCAAATCCACATCTAACAATTAAGTTACTGAACCGACAATGAATTAACTTTTTGGGAATACACTGTCATTCTGGGTCCACTAACTCACATGTTTTCAGTTCTCATCTGAACAGATAATCACTGCCTTTATTTCTGGGGAAAAAAATGTATTAGTCCATTTATTGCCATTTTTTTTTCCTTTCACACGAAAAAAATAGAGTACACCAGTATTAACCCTAGCAGTACATTTTACCAGAATTTTGTATCTTCTGTAACTGTTTTCCAAAGTCAAAATGCAAATAAAATTAATATACCTTCTATAAGAAAAGATCATTCAAATTGCTAAAACAAAAATGTTTTTTATTTCACCTCTTTAACTAAGGGTCAAACTGAAGTTCTGCAATGTAAATTGCCCTCACTTCAAGCAAAGACTAAAGTGTACCAGACAAAATATAGAAATTTCCCAAAACAACTTGGCCCAGCAGACCACATTAAAGAATATATAGGTAGGCCCTCCCTGGTGGTGCAGCGGGTTAAAGCACAGCACAAAGAAGCTTAAACCACTTCCACATGAGTTCGATTCCCGCCTGCCCCAGAGGTGATCCACATGGCCAGACAGACCTCTCCTGACCCGCCCGCTGCTCCCCTCAGC